CCCGCTGAGAAACGAAACGTAATGAAATGAAGCTCTATTGCAAACTCCATTACGTATACGCACAGTGGGCCCAAGACGGGACGAAGGCGAGGCAAGAGTTGTCTGCGAGCCAAGTGGCAATTGCACTTCAACTTAACATTGAGCGAGCGAGCGGGCGGGCGTTGTCCCTGCAACTCTGCCTTGGACTTTGCCACAAACGCTGTAAATGAAACATACTTTGGCTAGGCATACAAATATGTCGACGCTGACAACTTGATTAGAGGAGTTGCAGGCGGGTTTTGGTCTGCACAAGCAACAGCAGCAGCAGCAGCAACAGCAGCAGCAGCTCTAGCACCAGCTCCTGTCCAAAGGCGGTTGCATAAATTTAACAATTTTATAATCTCGATATGGTCGAAACTGGAAAATTTCATAATATCCGGTTCGAGCGCGCTTGAAAAGTTGTTAATTTGTTGCATCTCAGGCGGCAGGCAGCAGGAAAAACAAAACTCAAAGTCGAAGTAGCCGCCAAAAATGACAGCAATTAGCCGGGTCAGCTACAGCTGCGGAATAAGGTAAAAGTATTTAACCTACTTTGCTATGGCCAGGTCCTCCTGCAGTCTGCAGTCTGCAGCCGGCACCTCCTTCAGCTTTTCCAAAGCAGTCTTTTCTTTGCAGGAAGTTTTTTGACAGCGGCATACGAGAGACATTTCCAATGGCGCCTAATTAATGAGACACACGGCCGAGACAGTGGCGGTCCCAGGTGGTGGTGCCGCAGCAGCGACTGAAAGTCGATGGGAAAACTCGAACAACTTCCTTCACCCCCCCTTGCCTTTAGTACCGCCCCGCCAGTGGATGTGTGAAAAATTTCAAATTAAAATAATTAACAATTTTACAATTACTGCAGACTGTGAATGCAAAGCGCAAATATTTTGATTAGTCAATGATACAATTAGAGGCTGCGTGAAAAATCAATTGGAATATTTCTCTGGTAGAGGTGGTGCTGGTGGTGGCGGTGGTGCGACTGCGACCCACTCATGCAGCTTTTCCGCGTATGTTGCCACTGAGAGAGAGCGGCAGGAATGGAGAGTGTCGCTCGACTGTCTCGGCTGCCACATGATATGATTATGTGATTTGCCAATTTGCATTTAATTAATTTTCATCAGCTATTTATTATGTCAACGGCAGTCGGCAATGGGAGACGCAGGCTGCTTAGAGTTTTCACGAGAGAAGTCTGGCGAGGGTAGTAATTGCCGCCTTGGGTGTTACCGCATCAAATCCCCGTGAATATTATTTGTTACCGTTGAAAGGCTTTTCAGATTATGCTGCAGAGGCAGTTATGTCACGGGCTCAGTGCTCTGCGAGTGCATAATCCGAGCCGACGTCGTGGATGATGATGGGATTGGATGAGAGTGGATGAGAGGGAGTCGTGGTCGAGTGAATGAATAATGAAGGATTGCAAATGGAAGCTGACAGGGGCTACCCTAGGATAAGAGGACCCACAATAATAATGGCTAATTGAAAGATGAAATGGTGATTATTTTACGGCAACAGCTCGCTTTATGGTCGATTCAAATGATCCACCATTGCGCATACGCAGCGTGTGACGATTGCATCGGATCAATCAGTGGAAAACTGCGCTTCCACACAGCGCAATGTACCGATTTTGGCAGCATTAACTTGTTACTGCCGCTGATGTTGCTGCTAACGTTGCAGTTGCGTTTTTAAGTTCAATGTGCGCTGGCAATTAGCGGAATATTTCTGCCATTTTCCTCTTGGCCACACACACGCATATTTCAGTTCATGTCGGCAAACCGGCAAACCAGTCTCCAGCCAATTCGTGTTTTATTCGTTTTGCCTTCAAATAAATTAATATAAATTGCAGCCAATCGAATAAATACAAGAAGCTCCCCAAATGTATGTAATTTTCAATTACAGCAGCAACATTTGCGCATACAACAATCGCTGCTTCTACTGCGAGTGCTACTGCTACTGCTGCTGCGGCTGGTGTTGCGTAAGTTCAAGCTGCATAAAAGGATAACCATTAAAAGAGCAACATCTGCAGCAGCAGCAGCAACTACAGCAATTCCCACAACTATTTTGGAAAGATGCACGCGTCGCTGGCTTGTTAAGTTGCAAGGTTTTTATTTCCCCAACTGCGGCTCTAATAAATATGAAACAATGAGACAAAAGTCAAAGTTTGCTGCTGATTGTCTGCCATTGTTGCTGCTGTTTTACCAGTACGAGTACTATGTTTGCCAACAATCACTAAAGGCAGGCCAGTCTTCTGCTACCTACCATTGAAGGGTACTATAAATCCATGTTAGATGTTTGTAACGCTCAAGCTTCTATGCGACTAGACCGAGGACTTGATCTGTCCACTATATCATTAAATAAAATTGGAGGAACGAGTGGAACGAGTCCCCACAGCATACAATTTTCATACAGCACCCATCGCAATAATCAGTCCACAAGGGTATCTAATGCTTCGAATTACTCAAGCAGCCTTTCTATCGTTTTTTTTTTTAATTTCGTTTTTGTTTGGATTTGTTTGGACGATGTCGCAAATGTACGGCAGAAACCTCAGAAAGCAGCAGCAGCAGCAGGAGCAGTTCAGTCGGCCAAGTTAATGCATGTACTAAATGTCTAACGGTAAATATGAGTTACTAGGTAATTGCTTGGCCTGCTTAACAACAGCTGTTACGAGTACTCCTATACGACGAACGACGAACGACGTATAGGCGCGCATGAGCATGCACATAACCAACAGCACTCGCATTTTGACTTTTCACTTTTGTGAGTGGGAATGGAATTGATTGAGTGGCTGGCCGTAGCGCAGCTCTGGGTAAAAGTTGCCACCAGCCACCAGCCACCCGTACAAACGCCACAAACCTATCTAAACTATAACTAACCAAGAAATTAACACCTGCCGGCCAGAGCAGAGCCAAAGACAAAGCTTCAATGAGCAAACAAAATGAAATTTAGTGGGCGATTACGACGACAACAAACTAAGAAAAAAATACATATCAAAAAATATTTGAGGCGATAACTGGCAACAAAATCGACCAAAACCGAATCAACGAAAGTTGGATACACTTCAATATAATTTAATAAAGATCAATCTACATATATAATCATATGTAATCCCAGAAAATGAATTACAATTTAAATATTTATACCCAAGCTTTATACACCCCAAGCTTCCCCCTTTGTTCAATATACCCTGACGCCAAAAACTATACCCAAAATCAATCCTCAAACTGAAGCGGCCTGAAAATTGTATCAGCATTGCATTCGACGAATTGCCAAATGCCTCCTATGAGTTTTGGTATGCCATGACGACGACGACGACTTCAACTCCGCTACGAGTCGAGTCGAGTCGAGTGTGGCATGTTGACTTGCGTTATATTTTCCACCTGCTGCAACGGCAACGATCCACACAAAAAAAAAAAAAAAAAAAAAAAAAAAAAAACAGGAGACGTAGACCCCAAATCGTGGGCCATAATTAAGCATTTATTTTATTTGCCATATTTCTTGTGCTGCTTTCGGGATTTACACGTACTGGCGCACTGGCGGATTGGTAATCATCATGAAAAATGTTTCTTTTTATTCGTCGCTTTTCAGTTTCTCATGTCTCGCAATGTTGTCAAACGTTGTCGACCATAATATAGCAATTAAAACTGTGTCTGTCTTTAAGAGTACATCAACCTGATGTCACTCGTTGCGATTCATTTCGCTGTGCATCGATTTGAATCGATGGGATCGGGACCATGGAGAGCCTGAGAATTGAGGCTATGCAAAGTGGATAAAGTCCAAGACATGAGATCCAAATTTTTCCTTAAGATACAACAAGCTGCCGCTGAACTAGATTGTTTGGAAAGGGGCAAGAGTTTTTTAGTTACAGGATAATGGCAACAGGTTTATGTGGGTTTTTAAAAAGGTCACACAAGAAGGAAAAACTGCAGTAGTTTCCTTCAAAGCTGAGTCTCTATTTCCTTTAAAGATCCATTTAACAGAACGACAACAAATGTCTGAGCAACAAACGAAAACCCTTGAAATCAGAATCCCCCAAGCGACCAAAAATCCACGCTCTGATGCGTAATTAGCTTTGAGCCAAATGGAAGATTGACGAAAGACCAAAAATTGGTTAATTTCCCACTGCAATTGTGGCACTTAACTTTGAATTGAAGTACAGTCCGAGCCGTGCATGTAAGACCCCCAAACGCTGCTTGCAGCTACACGGAGAAAAACTTCTGTTTATGTCCCACAATTAAATATTACATAATGGCCTTTTATTGGGCCAAGTGCCGGGTCGGCCTGCAGAGCCAATTCAATTTGGATACTAGCATTTTACCATTTTACCATTTACGAATTACGATTTTACGAAAATTAGCGCATTAAAAGTGAATGATCAACCGGAGGCTGTCCGTAATAGAAGGTTGCCCCGATAAAACTTGCCCAGCAGCAGCCACGAAAAATCATCTAATCGAATATTTGGGTCAAACTGCGTTCAATGGGAGGGTACCACCAGATACTGGGAGGTAGGGGTTTGGTGGGATCGATGCAAATAAGCAGAGCGCTAACCAAAAATATTATTAACAAACCGTTTCAACGTCAGGCTGGCTGTCAGCGATGTTGCAAGTTCCCCCCTATGACGACTTATCAACGCCATCGAAGTGGTGCCACAACCAGTGAATGCGTCACTAATGACACACAAAGAGTCCTGCACCACGCTGCAACAGTCCAACAAACATCCAACATCGGATCTCAAACAATGGCAAACAAAGCGAACCAAAAAGAAAAACTGAACTGTAAAAACTGTTTTACATTTGAGGCGCCCCCCAGCCCGCTTACCTGGCGTAGCGGCTTCGCTGCCTAAGCCACCGCTGCTGCCACGGCTGCTGCTGCTGCCGCTGCCGCTGCTACTGCGACCGCTGTCGATTCACTTTCTTCCTAACCATATAAAAGCGGCGAATTTTCGTTGCAAGCACATTATTCAGTTGTGGAAAGTCGTTGCGTGCAGCTCGTGGCATCTCAGCAAAGTCTCAGTCTCAAGTTACATTTTTTTTCCTTTGTGATCTCGAACGAAAAACGAACCCTACAAAAAACATTATTAAAATGGCGTTCAAGGTGAGCACCGACAGCATAAGCCAAGGACTAAGGATATCAAATGTGCACAACGATCTGTAACCATATGTGTACATACATACATATATACAAAAAAGATCTAAAAGATCAAGTGAAAGAAGTGAAAAAGCATTTTTTTTCCATTTTTTTTATTGCTATATAAAATAAAGGATCTTAGGTTCCGGTTTTGTCTCAATTGGTGGTGTGACACATAAAGAATGATTACGAATTCCATTTGAGTAGACCATCCACCTTAGACCTTAGACCGTATACCACTTAAAAGGAATATACTTTATTAAAACAGTCCTGGCCAGAAAATGTAAATCTTATGGAAGGAGTAAACCCTTCATTATTCAATCAGTGACTGAAATAAAAATAATAACGATTAATCCTTTTAGGAATGGTATTCATATCAATCTTAGGTTTTTTATTTTGTTTTCTTAAACATCACATTAAGACCCACTCCCGATCAATTACCCCCAGTTTCACCGGTTTGTAGAGAGTCTTAGGGAAAAAACCTCAACCAAACCACAAGCAAAATCACAGCAATAGTTAAACAATAGCTTAAGCCAACCACAGCAAACACTTCATTAAGGCACTAACTAACAAAAAAAGCTAAAATATGCGCATTACTTGTAAATGCAGTCATTGCATGGACAGTGACAGGCAACGACCCGCCCCCCACCAATTGCAACAGTTGCAAATGCTGATGTCGGTGTTGATGTGAACAAAAACAATTAGCAAAGATCTCCGTTTAGTTGTTAATTATGCGCTTATATTGCAGTACCTGATCTTTGCCTCGGCTCTGTGCCTGAGTCTGGCCTATCCGCTGGAGCACCAGTACTACGATGAGAGCCACGGCTACGAGCACCTGGCCCACCACGAGCCAGAGCCGATACATGAGTACGGACAGCACCATCAGATCGAGCGCATCTCGCTGGGCGAGGAGCATGGACACCAAGAGCAAGCTCACTATGAGACCCACGAGCACGAGGACGAGCATGTGGATTACTATGTGAGTGGGAGGACACCGCAGACTAGATGGGGTCCCGAGTAGCTAATGGTATCCTAATGGTGTTCCCTTCAATTATAGGCCCCGCCCAAGTATGCCTTCAAGTATGGAGTCAACGACTTCCACACTGGCGATGTCAAGTCCCAGCACGAGACCCGCGATGGCGACACCGTGAAGGGCCAATACTCGCTGGTTGAGCCCGACGGTTCCATCCGCACCGTGGACTACACTGCCGACAAACATAACGGCTTCAATGCCGTCGTCCACAAGACTGCCCCCGTCCACCACCATGAGGAGCTGCACGAGCATCACTACTAGACGAGACCGGCGAGAACAGGCCCATAGAATACCTACGTTTAACTTTGCACTAGAGTTAGCCAAATTGCTCATCAGCCAACAGAACAGCATCCACAACGATCGACCATGAAATCAGCTTCATATCTCGTAATTAGGACATCAGCACACACATGCCACAGGCCCCAAAGCCCCAAAAGGGGGCCCAATCTTCACTAGACTTTTCCCTTGTGGTCATGCCTACTTCATAATCATTTTACTCATACCTATATATTGTATTTTATTCTGTGATAGCGAATAATTTCTACTTGTATCTTCCGCTTTCAACTGATCCTTAGTCACTCCTGCTCAGACGAATTTATCAATCAATCACTTGACTGTAATCTGTAATCTGTAATCTATATTGTATACTTATGTCTTTTTGTTAAATCTGTTACAGAGATCAAACGAATGAATTGTAAATTGTGTAATAAAGTGTGAATTATGTACTTTTTATAAAATCAAAAACCAACCAGACTACTGACCATAACTTTACCGGTCGGGGGCAATCATTGAACTTGGGGGCTTTCTTGGACTACGGGCAGCAACTCTTGGAATGAATGACCGAATGTCTGCATCTTGGCCAACTGGTTTATGCGTTTGGAGCAATAAAAACGATTACAAGACATATTTTCCGGATCGCAAACGAGTTGTGCGTTTTGTATTGATTGAAATTATATAAGCTGCAATTGAAAAGTGGAATTAAAATACTTCCTAAATGTCCAAAAACAGGACTTTGCGATATTTATGCTTGGCAACAAAACATAAACTCAAATTTAACAATTAATTAGCTCGCACATGAATATGGAATTTATCATTTTAACCAAAATATTTTCGAATTGCACAGGCTACGTCGTTTTCCAGCGCTACTGTCTATAAATATATCATCATATATCATATATATAATCAAGGGCAGAGTACTAGGGTGACCGTTTAGGACATATTTGACGTCGAAATTGTGCTGAAGGTATATTTACTATTTCAACAATCTATTAAATTTAATTTTTTGGAGTCAAGCAATATACTGGATCGTGGTCTTCGGGTCTTCTTTCAAGGTCGTCAACGACCGCACGTGGCTGAACGCTGCGTTCGTCCCACCGGGTGGCAACCAATATTAAGAGGTTTGGGTGCGCTCCAGACTAGCGAATGTTGCGAAGGTTTAGGTACGCTCCGTGGAGAACCAAGTGCAGATGCGTACGTCACCTGATCTGCCAACCTTTTCCCAGCAGGCCATGCCCGCTCCCTTACTTAACTTGAAGCGCCGCTGAGCGTGCTTGGACCGATCGGCTAGCTCTGCATCACCAGTTCGATTTGGCTTTCCGACAGCTGGCAGCCTGGTGGTACCTCCCAGTCCTGTGGGATGGTTCCGGTTTATAGTGCGTACTGTTGTTGTTTCGGGTTGGGTCGTGCTTCCGGCTCTAGTGTCTACGATGTCATGGCCTTGCTCTTCTTCTTCCTCAGTTTTTCTTTTTCGTCTGATTACTGCTGTTACCTCTCCACACGTTATTGTTGCGCCTGCGTCTCTTAGAAAGTCCATTCCCATAATTGGTATATCTGGGCCTCCTGCCAATATTAGGAACGATTCCGTGGTTTCTCGTCCTCCTAGTTCTGTCTGGACGTTTTGTCCTCCTTATGCTTCCATCTGCTAGCCGTATTAACTTTTGTTCCTTATCTTCTATTCCTTCGTTCCTCTGCTTTGGGGCCGTCCGTTGACCATGCTTCTTGTGGCCCCTGTGTCGATGAACACTTCTATTACCGGTTTTCCAACCCTGGCTCGGCCCATGAGTTGAATGTCTTCATATATTAGGTTGGTTGTGTCACTAACCATACAGTAAATGCATTCAGTAAATGTGTCCTGCTCTGTTTGTTACATTCAGTAAATGTGTCCTGCTCTGTTTGTTTTAGGCCCTGGGGGTTTCGCGGGGCTGTTCCGGGCACGTTTATTTCCGTTATATATGGTTGTGATGCTGGCGTATGAAACAAAAAAATTGTTCGTTTGCTAAAGTTGCCTTCTGCTGATTTCTGTTGGTATCCTGGTATCCCTATCTCCATCAAACAAGTGGCATGATCTCTATTTGCTGAATTTATTAAAAAACTGCGATTTTTATGGTAAACTCTCAATAATTCGAATATCACGAATGGCATTTCTACGCGTTATCTACATTGACGCTTTAAATCTATAACGCGACTTAAAAAATACTGGAAAATATTGGAAAATACCAAAAAAAGGTATAAAAACATGCAAGGTGTGTGAGCTGAACCGCACCGTTGCAAGCGTATAAAAAAAGTATAAAGTCCAAAGAAATATTATCAATGAAAGCGTAGCCAAAACACCGCAAAATAAACAAAATGCTGGAGAAAAATAAGTATGTGCCGCGGGTGAACCAAGTAAGTCATGTTATCAATCTAAAGAGGAAACGAATCAATAATGGTTCCCTTCCAGATAGACGCAATTTCTCTTAACAAGGATATTGCCCGACTTATACGCGATAATCTGCTGGAGAACCTTCAGGCCATATCGGTGGGTACAAGTATTCACTAACATATTCCGTGGAACACCTTCAAAACCTCACTCTCCCTTAGCCTGTGCTATTCATCAAATTTCAACCAGAACTCGATTTGCTTATACAATCTGCGATTTGGTTTGGATCCGTTGGCAAGCGATGCTCCACATTTGGCCAGCAACTACTTGTCCTAGCCTACGATGCTGAGAAGCTTACTGTTTCCAGGCTGGTCCTCCACTTCGTCCTGACCGTCCTACCCGGCTATGTGAAGAGCTGGGAGGAGCGAAGGCTCGCACGGCGCGTGGAGTGGTTTAGCCAGGCCATAGCGTGGGCGGAGAACAGCGCCCTGGTTCTGAACATTCTCAACTACTTTCGGTTCCTCAAGACAGGACGGAAACCCACTTTAATCGACTATTTTTTGGGTTTGGACTATATTAGTCTACGAAATAATCAGCGACGCGATATTGGATACAAATACCTGACCCGTGAGTTGCTCTGGGGTGGATTTATGGTGAGTATTTTTGGAAAAGATTTATGGTTTCATCTTTGTAATTCTGCAATGCTCTTTCAGGAAATCCTGGGTCTAGTTTTGCCCATCATTAACTTCCGAAAACTACAAAGGCTGCTCAAGTCTTGGACTTCTGGGCAGCAATTTGGCGCCCGTCGGCGGGAGATGGACACCACGGAGCTTCTAGCACCAAAGATGATGGTGGGCACAACGTGCACCTATTGTGGTGAACGTCCCACGCTTCCCCATCATATGGGCTGTGGTCATATCTATTGTTATTATTGTATAAGCGCTAATGTTCTAACTGATGCCAGCTTTTGTTGCACCATTTGTGGTGTTCAATGTGTGAAGGATGGTGTCCAAAGTGTATAATTGTTGAGGATTGTTTGCATGCAATGGTTTTATACCGATTTTATACTAGTATTAAGCGAATAATGGGCTGTAAACAAATAATACAATATATATTTACCTTTCCGCCAAATTTTTTGTACAGTATTGGTAAATGTCACACAAACGGTGTTGATAGTCACAGAAAAAAATTTTCTTTTGCGCGGTCGGAAACCAATTGGCGGAAACTAACAACCGAATTTCAACCGATTAAGCACTCCTATAAACAATCAACGATTTTTAATTAAAGCACGAGAGTGTACTAAACCACGGCAAACTGCTGGTTATTTTAAAACTTTCCATTAAAACCAAAAAAAAAGGTAAGAACTTGCTCGTCGTGGACTGCGAGAAAAGCGCGCGAAAAAACTGCAACAGCTGTTGTGTACATTGGTGGCGCTGCCACACTGCAGAAAATACACGACTTAAAAAAATGTTCTTAAATTAATTTATGCCAAACAACCTAGTATAAGTTTAGATGCTAAGTCTAGCAATGAACTAGTTAGTCATAAGTTTAAAATTAGTTTGAGGCGTAATTTGTTGTTTTGCAATTTGGCAAAACAGCTGCCCATGGAAGTCCGGCAACGCCAGCACTTTGTTATTATCTCATTTTTTCTGCTGCGCATTTCGCCTTTGTCCGTTTTTAGAAGAAAACATTACGCCTAAACATACACTTAAGTTCGTCAGCAAAACCCAAGCATCTAAAAACTATTAATTTCGGTCTACATTGCGTAATTGCGATTAAGATTTCCAAGGCGTCACGCCCGCAAACAAGCGAAATTCAGGATCAAACAATTATATTGAAAATCTAAAACGGCCACAGCGGACAAATAGCTCAAAAATTACTTTGTCGCGACCCCACCAGCAACAAATTGCGTATATATTCGTGGGGCAGCAGCAACAGCAGCTGATTTCACATATCAAGGTCAGTAAGGTGGCGATTTGCAAACAAAAAAAAACCATCCGTAATATTAAAAAATCCGTCCGTCCAATTTGTAGAGAAGAATGCTCGAACTTGAGATTGTGCCCGAGAACTCGATGAGCTGCGATGCCTGGGAGTTTGTCCTGGGCATGCACTTCTCGCAGGCCATCTCCATCATACAGTCGCAGGTGGGGATCATCAAAGGTGTCCAGGTGCTATATTCGGATACAAATCCACTGGGCGTGGACATAATCATCAATCTGCCACAGGATGGTGTGCGCTTGATTTTCGATCCCGTTGTGCAGCGTCTGAAGACAATAGAGGTGTTCAACATGAAGCTGGTGAAGCTGAAATACGGAGGCGTCTACTTCAACTCACCCGAGGTGTTGCCCAGTATAGAACAGATCGAGCATTCGTTCGGAGCCACCCATCCGGGAGTGTATGATGCAGCCAAGCAACTCTTTGCCCTGCACTTCAGAGGACTCAGCTTTTACTTCCCTGTAGATAGCAAATTGCATTCTGGATATGGCCATGGGCTTGGCTCCTTGGTCTTCCTGAATGGTGCCTCGCCGGTCGTCTCCAAGATGTCTCTCTACGCTGGCAGCAATGTTGCGGAAAACCGTGCTCCTGCACTGCCCTTGGGCTGCTACCATAGACAAATGTATCTGGAATCGGCCACAGTTCTTCGCACTTCCTATGGCCACACCAAAGGCCTCAAGCTGAATCTCTTTACGGAGGGTTCTGGTCGTGCCTTGGAGCCACGTCGGCAGTGCTTCACACGAGAACTGCTCTTTGGAGACAGCTGCGAGGATGTGGCCACCAATCTTGGTGCTCCCAACCGCATATTCTTCAAGAGCGAGGACAAGATGAAGATACACAGCTCGAGCGTGAATCGACAGGCGCAGAGCAAGCGCAGCGACATATTTTTCAACTACTTCACGTTGGGCATCGATGTTCTCTTCGACGCTCGCACACAGACCTGCAAGAAGTTCATTCTGCACACGAACTATCCGGGCCACTTCAATTTCAATATGTACCATCGCTGCGAGTTCCAGTTCCAGCTGCAGACGGACCACCCGCACAGTGATAACCTCGATCTGATGACGCCCTCAAAGCAAGACTATGTGAATATAACTGCCTACACCAAATGGGACGAAATCAGTGGCTCGTTGTCTACGTCGGAGCGGCCAGTGGTGTTGCATCGTGCCAGCTCAACGAACACGGCGAATCCCTTTGGCTCCACCTTTTGCTACGGCTATCAAGATCTTATATTCGAAGTGATGCCCAACAATCATATTGCCTCTGTGACGCTCTACAACACAGCGCCGCCCCGGCAGCCCGCCCACTCCTGGCAGCAGCACAAAATGCAGGACATTCGTCTGACCGTGGCCTAGAGCAGAATGGTCGATCAGGTCACACGGTCGTCAATGCTACGTGGATGCGGGCTCTGTGATGCTTTGTGGAAGGGATGTCTTATCGTCTCGTGTTCTAATCTATAAGCTACAACAATGATCTAACCTAGGCATAAGCTAGATACATACAATATACATACGAGTATATAGTAATATGCATATATATAGATACATAATATATATAAAATTTCTATTGTAGCCTAAGCAAAACTCTTCAGACGACTCATCATCTCTGACCACGTTCATACTGCGGTATTCCATTGTGTTAAATCGATTCTATTCGACGCATAAACTGACAATTAAGTAGCCTCGTACTTTTAACAATTGCATGTCGTTAAAATATTTCAATACTTTTAAGCTCAAACCCGTGTATTTCTCTTTGAAAAAGAAACAAAAAATCAGCAAAAAAAATATACATAATATATAATTATAAGGTTTCGACAACAACATTTGATGGCCTTTGAGTTTCCTTTATTATAATATATAATAACTTATAACTTTATAAGTCAGATTTAACCATCGCTCTTAATTTTTGCAGTCGATTAGAATGTCAAAACAAGCCACAGATCTGGAAACTCCAGTGCCCCAGCAGACGGTAGTGCCTGCATTTGATCCCACGATCCTGCCGGACATGCTGCCCGTTTACTACAGGCGTCTCTTTCCGCATCAGCCGTTCTATCGCTGGCTCTCCTACGGACTCTGTAAGTGCACCCCCTCTAAAACGACAGCTCAAGAACTTAGCAATCCCCCAATCCCCTGTATTCCGTAGCTGAGGATGGCGTCTTCTGTAACCGGGAAATATCCTTTACCCTTCACGATGACATCTACATTCGTTACCTCTGCTTCGAAACCCAGGCAGAGCTGGAAAAGGAGATTTGCTCGCGAAATCCGTACAAAATCGACATTGGACCCGTGATGCACACCAGGCCAACGAACTTTCGCATAGTTCCGGGCGGTCTGACCCCCGTGCAACGCGAGCTAGTCTTCGATATCGATATGACAGACTATGACGAGGTCCGAACCTGTTGCTCGGGTGCCGAGGTGTGCCTCAAGTGTTGGAAATTCATGGTACTGGCGGCACGCGTCTTGGATCTCGCACTGCGCGAGGATTTTGGCTTCGAGCACATACTGTGGGTCTTCTCTGGACGTCGTGGCATCCATTGCTGGGTGTGTGATCATCAGGCGCGTCATTTGGACGGCCGCGGCCGCTATGCCGTGGCTGAGTATTTCAATATTGTAAGCTACGTAAATTTTATGGGCAGCAACTCGCCGAGATGTCAGCTAGGAGATCGTTCACATCACAGCTTCAAGCGTGCCTTGAAGATCATTGAGCCCCTGTTCGAGGAGATTATTATCGAAGACCAGAATCTCTTTGGCACGCCCAAGGGTGTCAATAAGCTGCTGCACATGATCCACGACGACGGAGCACGCACTGAGTTCGAGGGCTATCTGCAGAAAAGCCATGAGGATGGAGCCCACTCAAGGTTGATTTGGGAAAGCTTCATTAAGTATTCCAATTCCATGCGGACGTCGACGGCCAATGTGTGGAGTCGCAAGCTGAAAAACATTGTCCAGGAGGTGCAGCTGTGCCTGCTCTATCCGCGCCTGGACATCAACGTGACCAGGGGATTCAACCATTTGCTGAAATCTCCATTCTGCATACATCCAGCCACGGGCAAGGTCTGTGTGCCATTCAGCGTTAATGCCGTGGCCAAGTTCGATCCCACCACGGTGCCCACCATCACTCAACTGCTGCACGAGATCAATGCCTACGATGACAAGACCAAGAGCTATATGGAGGCCCCAGAGGACAAGAGTCGCATCAAGGACCACAAGAAGACCAGCATGTTCAAGGGCGTGGTGGTGTTTGAGGAGTTCCTGCGAAAGCTGGAACGCAGCAACAAAGAACGCACTAACGTCTTGCAGTTCTGAATAAAGGATTGATTTCAGTGCGGCTTTCGATGTTACTTTTATTTATGTATTATTATGATTAGGCTACCAACAATAAATAGACTAAACGATTGCATGTGAGCTCTCTCTCTCTCTCTCTCTTTTTCACATACAACTCAGCCGCACCTGCGGAACTACATTTCCGTCCTTGTCATTCCAGTTGACCTCAACCTCCAGTTGAAACAGTCCGTCCTCTGCGGCCGCGGGGCCAGGGAGGTTGGCCAATATCTCCTTGTCCCCAGCTCGTATCTTGAACAAGGATAGCTCATTCGGGCCATCGCCAGCTTCGCTCGACTGTGGCAGAGTTATTCTGATCTTTTGTGGCAATACGCTGCCCTTTCCCAGGACCAGTGTGGCATTCGCCTCATCGTCTCCGTGCCAAATGTACAAATCATCCTCGACGAGAACACAGTCGTCGGCCTTCTGCAGCTGCTGCTCGAGGGGATCAAGTAGGCACACAGCCTGACGGGCACATCCGATGGCCACCACTTCATCCGCCGAGTGGCTGTTGTGGAGCTTGGCGTCGGGGAAGCGAGAGGCCACAGCCGCCTGAAGCTTGGGGATCTGCATGGTGGCGCCGAGGAGGACAATGTGGTCGACGCGCTTCAACTCCGGACGCTTTTGTTGGGCCTGTTCGATACATTCGCCTAGCTGTTGCATTAGGTTGTTAATCACCGGCTGAATGAGGCTCTCGAAACGGGCCCGCGACATCTGGGCGTTGAAGTCCACGCCGTCCATCAGGGAGTCGATGTACAGTTGAGTGGAGGGCATCGTTGTAAGGGTATGCTTGCAGTTGGCGGCTGCTGTGCGGATCTTGGCGAGCGATCGACGCGACTCGTGCGGATCTAATTTGTACTTCCTTTTGAACTCCTCGCAGATGAACTGCACCAAGGCCTCGGTGAACTGGCGGCCACCGATGGCGAACGGGCCAAACGTGGCCAGCTCAATGAAGAAACCATTCTGTACGGCAAACAGGGCGAAATCGCTATACAGTCCACCGCACTTGATGGTCAAAACATGCTGGCGAGCCTGCAGCTCATCCTCGCCAATGTTATAGCCCAAGACGGCCGCCGTGGGCTCGGCTATTATCTGCGCAACGTGGAAGCCGGCAGTTTCAGCAGCGTCTGACAGCAGCTTGAAGGCCTCTGCGGGATAGTAGCTGGGTATGGATATCACGGCAATGGGAGCCTGATCCGCATCAGTATGATATTGATGGGCCAACTCCAGTTCGGCGCGCAGCAGCTCCATCGTGACCTGGTAGGCACTTAGCTCTTTGGTCACAATTTGGTCATCTTGGTCTTCCTTTTCAGAGGGCACCGCGTGCTCCATTCGAAACACGAGCTCCTCCTTGTCAAAGTCGCAGGGAATATCCTTCAGGGCATTTGAAAAAATCTCCTCGGTTAAGTGCTCCTTTGGCTGTAGCAGCTGGAAGCTGTGTGCCACCGCCTGTTTGGGCCGTGTGGCCATCTTCTGTTTGGCCGTCAGACCGCACTCAATTTCGGAGTCGCCATCCCACAGCAAACACGCTTGCGAGACACGATCGCCCTGCTTGTTCGCAATGACTTCAGCTTTGCCATCGGCCTTTACGTAAGCAATGCAGAGGGTGCTGTTGCCAATCTTGATGCCAAATCGCGGCCACATCGCGTTTTAGTTAATTGAGTCAGACAAATACCCGGAACCTTATAAATAATTTGGCAAACCTTACTTTAATCTAAATCACGCACGTTTTTTCCCGGTAGTGTTGTCAACAGTGTGACGGCGGACTTATCGATAAAATATACCGTCCGACCCTCAGAAATATACCGATATACCGTAAATATACCGTCGGCTCATTTTGGACCCCAAAAAATACCAAAAAGTATCAAAACTACCGTAAACGGTCACTCTGCTTGTCAAGCAGTGCTGTCAAACCATCGATAGTGGCGTCACTCGATAGTTTTGAATAGAATGATTAAAAAATCGATACTATCGATAGTGCCATCGATGGTTTGACACCTATATGTCCACTACTAAGAGGGAAATATGTAAACAAAACAGTTGGGAAAACTGCAGAATAATCATTAAAATCGACGCAAAACTATAGTAATAGAGGGTGTGAGGGATCCACTGAAGCTGTAGTGTCATTCAGACAGACGAGTATACCAAAAAGTCATCTGTGTAGTGGCGTGCAGAGGAGTCTGGCATTGGCTAACGAAAAATCTATATGCAAGGGTGCCGATCACATCCGCGACGGTAGCAAACTGTTGACCCCAGGCGCCACCCCACGAACACACAGAAGTAGGTCTTGTGGCACATACATGCGCATATATATGCAACGCAATCAACGCCCCCAAACCGTTCCGATTCGTCATCGATTTACGCGGTGGCCCAAGCGACACAATGGAATGGATGTTACTCCGTTGAAAATTAAACAAACCTAATTGATAGCGAACGAAAGCGAATGGAATGTTGCCCTTGGAGCAGAAATAGAAATTGATTTGTGTACCTGCTCGAAAATGCGCATTTCCTAAGTTGCGCTGCAGACTGCAAATAAAGAAACGCAGACGAAGACTCCACACAAACAGAAACACACACACACACAAAGGCAAGCGAAGAAAACCCTCGGCCCTACGGCAACCTTGAGCGGACACAATGGATGATAATCTCAGCACAAAGTCCTCGGAGTCCTCGATAACGACCAGCGGGGAATACGAAATAGTCACCGACAGCAATGTCGCCAGTCCCACGGAGCCGTCAAAGCGAACTGTGGCCCCGGAGCCAAAGGAACCAGGCGCAGGCAAGCCGCCCACCTCGCTGAGTGCCTTGGCGCTCTCCTCTCCCGAGGGAGGTGGTGATCGATCCCCCACGCTGGACATGGCGCACAATCGCAACTTGAGCGATATTCAGCACGAGATGACGGACGCCCTGCGGGACCTGGAGCTGGAGCGAGGTGTAGGTGAGTACAGCGAGAACTGAAAGCATAGAAATTCCCAGTCTGCCAGACACGATCCGCTCCGACAGCTGTGCACACACGCTGGCTGAGCGCGCTCCAAATTGGAATTGAAATTTAAGCGAGTCGATAGTAAGTAATGCCAGCCAGCTGCAATCTTATCTATGTAAGCTTCGGTACGCCGATGGTAGAGGGTGTCATGGCAACAAATAACAAACAAACGTTCTGTAAACCCCATAGCACATAACACATAACAATTTCAATACATTTCAGTTCAATTATTGTTTCTCGACTTGCGCACTTTTCTCGTAATTGTCAATTAACATTTAAATTTTGCAGCTGCCGGCGATAAGACTACGACCCAGCGAGTCCCGAATCATCAGCAAAAGTCTCTGACACTGCCATTAACTGGCACTGTCACTGTCACTGGCACAGACCCCGAGATGCGTTTCCCCTGCAATATTTTTACGCCCAAGAGCGAGGAGGCTGTGGACGATGCCTCCCACTCCGATGCACACAATCGCGTAGGCCATTCTGTGTTCTATGACTGCATTGATGCGAGTCCCGCCTGCGTGGAGGAGAAGCAGGATGCCATGAAGCCGGAGAAAGGCGATACAACCGACGAAGAGGGTGAGTTTTTGTGCCACATAGACAATGCTCTACTTTACATATATAAATCCATTGTAACAGTGTCAGAGATCGATCAGGGCTGTACCATTTTTTCGGGTGTGACCTACCTGGGTGCCGCAAACATCAATGCACCCAAATCCGAGACAGATGTCTACCGCATTATGAACGAGCTGAACAGTGGCTCAAAGTCCGTGGGACTGAAGATAACTGTGAGCATTCCCATCTGCTCTGATGGTCTGGTCGTGTGAGTAGAAAAAGGAGTTTCCCCAAAAATATGATTCATTCAAGCTAGGTATTTCGCTCGTTTCCCTTTCCAGCCTTCATGATGCGGAGAGCAATACGATTATAGCTACCTACGAGATATCCAGCATTATTTTATACTATCGCGGTCCCGTGGATACGGCGGAGAATGGTTGCTTTGCCTTTACCTGGCTGCACGGAGATGCCCTTTTCCAATGCCATGTGTTCCGGTGCCATATACCCGAGGCGGTAAATCAAGTGAGCGGTGAGTCAGATCAGATCATCTTCAGCACGGTTTTTGGCATGATCTCATTCGCTTATTTGCATTAATCTGTTTCCAGCCTGCTTCCAGAAAGCATTCCAGACGTATCCGCCCAGCATGAGCTGCAGCCTCACATCGGCCGTGGACATGGCCAACTCTGTAACGTCGGATGTGAGCGGTAACCCCCTTAACACGGCTGGCTACGAGTTCATCGTCTCCCTGGAAATACGCGAGAAGGTGGCCAAGAACTCCTATGCTGCAGTCCCCCGGGATCGGGGCTGCTTCAAGCTGCGAGCCAATACGGATAAAGAAGTATGCATTACCGTAAAGCAAACGCCCTCCAACGTACTCCAGCCCCTGTACATTGAGCGCTGCTTTGGCGTGCTCGTGGCCCCAGGCAAACTGGTGGTCCAGAAGGATATGCATCTCATTGATCTGCTCAACATGGGCTACGTGACAGCGCCAGGTGTACCAGCAGCTGGAGCAACAGCAGCAGCAACTGGAGGAGGAGGAGCAGCAACGGCAGAGTCCGAGAATGCCCTTGCGCTAAATTCTTGCCTGCCCTATGCCATACGAGCCGAGTGGAAGGCCCAGGAGAAGGCCTTCGAGCAGCTGAATCTGGAATCGTCCAAAACCAATCTTACCGTGGCCGTGGACATTGTGATGCGTGGCATCCAGGAGCCAGTCCGGTTCGTGATTGAAACCCCAGTGACTATACAGTCGGCCAGCGAGATGCGCATCATGGATCACTTCATATCCAAACGCCCAATGACGCTGCGCTTCTACTTGCATCTCAAGCGCACCGATGAGCTCAATTGGAAGGTGAACAGCATAGATCCCTCGGAGGAGATCACGGAGCACCCGGGCCAGCAAGCAGCATCCTCGTCCCTGCTTAAGATGGGCATGAACAATCTTTCGCGCATTGTGCGTAGCACGTCCATTGCCTCAATCGAGGATGATTGCCCCACAGACTACAGCAGTGATGGCGATGAGCCGCTCCTGAGTGGCACTGGCGAAGTATCCAAGGACTGCTCGCAGGATACACTCGATGAATGGGATCCCATTTTGCGGGAATGGGACAGCGAAAAGAGGCCCAAGAATCTGGCTCCCCTTGTGCGTCTCGGTGTCCCAGAGGCATTGCGTGAGAAGATCTGGCAGAAACTGGCCAGTGTCGAGGGCAAGGTGGAGATGAACGACATGTACAAGATCCTGATCACCAAAGTTAGTAGTTTTCGAGCCTATAAAGGGAGTAAATTCAATTGTAAATCTCTTATAGGAAACCAAATGCGAGACAGTCATCCAGCGGGATATACATCGCACTTTTCCGGCGCACAAATGCTTCAAGGAAACCGGCGGTTCTGGTCAGGATGCGCTCTTCAAGGTGTCCAAGGCATATGCTGTCCATGACAGCGAGGTTGGCTATTGCCAGGGCCTCAGTTTCATAGCAGCCAGTCTGCTGCTTCATGTGAGTAATTTATGAAAATAGGGAAAGCAATCGAACAGCAATCAATAAATGTTGGCTCTCCCAGATGCCCGAGGAAGATGCCTTCTGTGTCTTGGTCGCACTAATGTATGACTACGGGCTTCGAGATCTCTACAAGGCAGGGTTTGAGGTTCTGTATCTGCGGCTGTATCAACTGGAGCGGCTCATCAAGGATCAGCTACCCAAACTGTATGAGCATTTCACGGCCTGCGGCATTGAGACGCACATGTACGCCTCCCAATGGTTCCTCACTCTGTACACGGCTCGCTTTCCGCTCTGCTTTGTATTCCACGTACTGGACGTATTCCTACTGGACGGCTTGCCTGTGCTCTTCCAGGTGGCTGTGACACTGCTGTCAATCTGCGAGTCCGACCTGCGCCAGCTGGATTTCGAGGGCATACTCAAGTACTTCAGGGTAACGCTCCCCAAGAAGTGTCGCAGCTCCATTCAGGCGCGCAAAGTGATGAAGCAGTCGTGCGAGAGGAAGATCAAGAAACTTAAGCAGTACGAGGAGGAGTTCTTGCTTAAGAAGCAGCACAAAGAGCGCCTGGAGAAGGAAGCGCAGATCTATGAGAACCGGTTCGGCGAGGAACGCCGCAAGCTTCAGGGGGAGATAGATACGGTGACCCAACAGCTGACCGTGGCCAATGAGCGGGCCGTCGATAAGGAGAAGAAGCACACCGGCATCATACAGGAATACAAGCAGATCATCCAGCGTCAGGAGCAGGACATGAACACGCTCAGTGAGACGTTGAGCAAGGTCATGGTGAGTCTTTGATAATGTATCGCAAAATATCTAACTAATGGAATCCTTTCCATCCAGCAAACGGTTTCCAAGTGCCAGCATTGCCTGCAACAGATCGATGGATTCGGCAACGATAATGCCAAGTCCGGCGAAGGCCGCTCTAACCGGCAAACGGATGCCATGCGCAATGCCAATGAGCCGCCTCTGGGTCCATTGGATCCACTCAATGCCGCCTCCCATCGAATACGCGAACTAGAACTGGAGCTGGCCCAGGCCAAACTGGCGCAGGTGGAGGCCGAGTGCAAGAACCAGGATCTAAACCATCAGCTCAACAACACACTCAGCGAGCTGCAGACCAATCGCAATAGCTGGCAGCCGTGGCTCTCCAAGACCTTCAACACTCTGCAGGAGAAGGTGACCACCCGAAGCGGTAATCGGGACAATGGCAGTGGCGGACCTACGCCCACATTCCAGTCGTACATGGGCCAGCCACCGACCACTCTCAGCGAGGCCAGTTCGCCCAGCGGCAATCAGGTAACATAAGGATCACAGAGACCCATCCATGACAGGACGAGCGCTGGACCGTGACCAGTTTTTAATGTATAATTTTGTTCATGTATAATTTCTTTAATCTTTAAGTTGGGGTGTTCTCCTGGTATTTATCTCTCGGGGGATACCATTGGGAATACCCTCTCGCATTGCCTTTTTCATGTTTAATTTATGGCTAAACCAGCACACACCCCATGACACATACGCACAACTTTAAAGAATCTTACTTTGTAGCCATATCTGTTGACTATATCGAAGCACTGACCCCCCCGCTTACGCTTACCTGCTGTTTCTGTTTAAACCTTGTTTTTTCTTCTTATTAATAGTATTGATATTTTTGCTGCTGCAAATAAAACCCCTATGTATATACACATATGTACGATATATTTAAAGAACCTCTTACCATACTTGACTCTGGATTGCTGCCCTGCACTGGATCAGGAGTATAAGACATTTGCATTTGCCTCGGTGGGTGGATCACCGAAGCTGCCCAGCAAATTTCAGGCCACCAAGCTGCGGAACAGCATCGACAGCCTAAGGAACATTGTAGTTCCGCTGGAGACGGGCAAATCGCTGGCCGAGAATCTCAAGCAGCAGCTGCAGCAGTAGCAGTAGGAAATCGGAAAATATATAGGGATATGTATGGATCGTGGATCCTGGCTAGCAGGCACCTCCACATAATTGACTACACGCCTTGGTATTATTTATCATATTCGTCTATATATACACACATATATAGTATACATACATACAAGTGTGAATTTTTTTGATTTCTACGATATATATGCGAGAATTAGATTTTTATGGTTATTTTGCACCTTTAAGGCACCTTAAAAGTCCCCAGATAATATCAAACTGTGGCCTACACAGTTTGACAAGCACTGGCCGAAGCTACACGTCTAACGCTATAAATGAATAAAATATGAAGTAAAATGCTAACTTTCTGTGTAATCCTTTACTCACACGTGGATTTGGACCACTAAAAGTACATATACATATACACATATCATCATTCCCACCAGATCCCACCCTGAATCACACCAGGGACATAATACTATCGTTCCATTTCGCTAACCCATTCCCATCATCATCTTTTTATATGAAGAACAAACGCTGTATTCCTTCGCTTCGCTTCTGAGGAGTGGACACCGCCATGGCCGCATAGTTCATCAGGAGATCGGCCGACGAACTGCGCTGAATGAGGCGGCGTCTGCCGGCACCACGTGCATTGCTAAAAGATCGACTTCTCACATGGCCACGTCGTCGCTTGGGCCGCTGGGAGACGGTTCCAAAGCAGGACACATGCTGCTCTGCCTCACTCTCGCTCTCGCTCTGAGTGGGGGGCATCGTTTGCTCCGTCATGGGGGACTGCAGCGTTTGATTGGAGCCATCCACATCCGGCGTCACCGTATGAGATTCACTCTGATCTCCTGCTGCTCCAAGGCGGGCCCGTTTCCCGATGCTGTAGCTGGAGGGATCGCGGGAGAGCTCGGAGCCAAAGTTGCTGCTGCTGCGTTCGTGCGGCATATTGGTGCCGTAGCTGAGAAAGTCCGGGTACGGCAGATGCAGCTCGTGGGCAGCCGTGAACGCCTCGGGCGTGGAGAAGGTGTGCCGCAGTCGTTGCACGCGATAGCTCGGTCCATGCGGCGTCTGATGCACCAGCAGCCAGGAGCGCTTCAGATACGTGTGCTCGGTGCAGTTGCTCGCCTGGGTCTGTTCCTGGTTCTGATACTGATTTGGATTCTGGGCGGAGGTGAGTGGACTGCCGAGCGTGGTGGAGGGCAGGCCTAGAGTGAGTGATATGTTGAGAGAGTCATCTCCGTCTCGGAAGGCGCCGTCGGTGCCGTCGTCCGCCGCACTGTTGGGCGTCGTTGGCTGCGCCTCCGCTCCCCCAGCGGCTGAGGGTAGTTCACGCCCATCGGATAGCGGTGGCGGGCCCGTTGAAATCCCCACGGATTGGTGCGTGGTTGGGCGTGGGTCCGCTGCGGCTGCCGGGCCAGACGCGCCTGCAGAGCCTGCAATTTGGATTCTGTGGGTAAATTAGCCACTGCAAGGGAGGTGTTTCTGGGGATCGGATCACCTACCACAAATTGCCGTGGCCAAAAGCACCCTCTGGGCCATCTGCTGGCTCTGCTCTGCATCCTGCGTGGTATCCGTGGCGGCCACGGCATGGGTCATGGCCGCCGCAGAAGTGCTGGGCTGATCCTGATCCCTGTCCAGGCTGCAGCTACGTTGCAACGGTAGCACGGACTGCATTGTGCAGTTACTGGGAGCCCGATTGCAGCTTCGGTCCCGGTGCTGGCGACGGGGACGACGCTGGCGCCGCGGCTCGCGCAGCTCCTGTTGCATCCCTATTTTTATTACCTCCTCGTAATCGGGCGGGGCTTCGTAGCTGGGTGGCTCGTCGGGCGTACGATCCTCGTCCTGGCGATCCAGGAGCTCGCTTATGGTCTGCAAGTGACTCTGGAGCTCCCGCTGGTGCCGCGCCCTTACGCCCATCCTGTACAGGATCACCATCCAGCCAGATAGGACGCCAAAGATCCCCAATGTGCTGATGATGAAGATGCCCGTGGCTGTCTTCAGATCCGGATACTGGTCCATCTTCGGAAAGTAGTAGTTGGGCTTGTGGGAGTACCAGCGACGATCGTGGTGCAGATGGGCCCAGTCCTCCTCGCAGGTCTCCGGCTCATCGGTTCCATCGCCGCAGTGATCGAATCCGTCGCAGTGCAGCCGAATGGAGATGCAGTGGTTATTCCCGCACAGAAACTCGGAGCCGATATAGCAATCTGCGGCACAAAAAACATTAACAATCAGAAGGAGGGTTCTCTCGTGGTACTCACTCAAATAGTTGAAAACGCTGTAGACAATGGCCAGCTTGGAGGGCATCCCGAAGACCCCTCGTAGGCGTATGTAGTACCCAGTGAGGATGGGGGCTATGTGGTTCTCCTTGCTCAGCCCGTTGTTCGGCCACATCACATTCTCAATCTCTACGCCGTCGGAGGTGGTCCCCTGGCGTATAGTGAGCTCTGAACGCGCTGCCATTCCATAGAAGTCGTCCACCCGCAGTGAGATGTGGGTCTTCATCATCATGTAATTGTTGCCGGGCTTGATGATCCAAATGCAATCGAAGAGGCGCACATCTGTGGCATTCTCGATCATGTTCATCATGGTGATGGCCCCACCAGGTCCCGTGACCATGCCACCACAATCTGGGGATAAGGAATGTATGAAAACCTATTCGTTTTTAGGTAACAGTTCCTAGAGAATCCCATGCCATACAAGATTATGTATGACCAGCAAACCTTTGTGCTTCCCAAAGACCCAGAATCGATTGTGTTACCCAACTGAACCGTGCAAGAGTCTCACCTAGTTTCCACTTAAACGCTCGCATTGACATTGATATTCGTCAAGTGGCCCAAACAAAACATAGCCCCTATAGCACCACCCCATTCCAACGACCACGAACCGAAATCAATATGACAATTGCCTGCAGACCTTCAAGTGCCCAACTAATCCACCAATTATCCCCCCGTTACCCAACCAACCACCCACCCACAAGACACACAAAACCACTGACCACTCACCTGTGTAGGGCACTAGGCGCTCCTCCTTGATCTGCTTTGATGAGACGAAGCTTACCTCGGCGCGGAAGCCAACGCCTGTGGCAGCATTACCCCGGAACTGCAGCAGCAAGGACTTGCCACTGCTGATTGTGATGGGTGGCCGAAAGTGCTCGCCCGTGTATGAGTCCAGCATCTGGCCATTGGAGTCGAATATCTCGAGGGTGGAGGAGAGGCCAAGCTGAAAGTCGGTAAAGTCCAGGCGCACCTGGCAGTTGTCCGCCTCGCAGGTGAGGATGTGCTCGATCCCATAGTCCCTGGGATACGGCATGGGGAAGTATGGTGTGGATATGACCTGCGGCTGGTACTTGGGATTCCCATTGCCCACGATCGACTGCTTGGGCGAACCACTCACAATCCTCACGTTGCCTAAGGAAATACTAACATTGAATCATCCCTCAGGATATAGGACTTCCTAATCAACTTACGTTCGGAGAAGTATTGCAGGGAAAAGACATGGGCATTGGTGGCTCTGTAGAAGAACTTGAGCTGCAACGTCCGTGTCTTGCTCCGGAATACCTTGCCATCGCCACAGAACTCCTGCCCAGAGATGGTTGAATCGTAGGGTGGCTCCGAGAACTGGATGTGCTCACAGGGACACATGCTCGACTTTCCGCCCGTATTGCCGCAGCTCTTCGAGAAGTTGGCATAGGTGAAGGTCACTCGGATGACGCACTCGGCGCAGGTGACCAGCTCCAGGTTGCACTGGTACCACACGTCCCCAGCTACGGCATCGCTCTTGAATCCCAGCGGAGCGCTCTACGAACGATGGATGTTGATCTGATCTGATCGGATCTTGGCTCTGAGAACTGCACTCACTCTATACGCCGTATTGGTCACATTGCGAGCATGCAGTTCTCCTGCAGGGCTCCCCAGCTCGAGGAAGTGCCGCCTGCCATCCCAGTGATTGCAAATATCCAGATCCCGGTAGCTGGCACTGGCTGGATAGGCATCTCCCGGCCAGCACAGCAATGTCGCCACATACGCCAGTAAGTAGCCATAGGCCACGTTTTGGGCTACCATCGCGCGATGGTGCTGCTCCTCGTCCGTATCAATGATGACTGGCCAAGTGCCGACACAAGACTGTGGGCCAGTGTGCTGCCAAATCCAATAAGGCCTGGTACTGGGACCTACTGAGAAGCCTAACAAGTGGGCTACATAACCATAACGAGCCCTGTGTGGGTGGCTGGGCTGGAACTGTGACTAGGACAGGGGCCGGGTTAAAGACCTCTCGCGAGACTCTCGGGGCTCTTGTGTCGGTAAAAAAATACATTTATTTGAAATTTCTTTTTCGTTAGACGTTACGGGGAATATTGAATGCGGATGAGGTCTCGCAGAGACAATGAACATTGAAATGTGCATCGAGGACACAGCAAAGTAAACCTAAGACATGCACATTTTTTATATAGTAAGTGTATAGAGTACGAGGGACGAGGCGACGCTGAGTGGTTTCTTTAGAGGTGCGAGGCCTTGTGCTCTGGGTTGGATAGTCACTTGGCAGCGGCGGCGCTCTTGGCGAGAGCAGCCTCCAGATTCTTGGCCAGTGTGTCCATGAACTCAAAGGTCTCCTGGTAGTCCTTGCGCTCGACGGCGCTAATGCTGCCCTTAATGCAGATGGCCAGATCCTTGGTCATGGCACCGCCCTCGATGGTGTCGATGCACACCTGCTCGAGAGTCTCGGCGAACTGCTGCAGTGGCACGTTGTCGTCGAGCTTGGCGCGATGGAGCAGGCCACGGGTCCAGGCGAAGATCGAGGCAATGGGATTGGTGGAGGTCTCCTTGCCCTGCTGGTAGAAGCGGAAGTGACGGGTCACTGTTCCGTGAGCGGCTTCGGCCTCGACGGTCTTGCCATCGGGGCAGAGCAGCACGGAGGTCATCAGACCCAGAGAACCGTAGCCCTGGGCAACGGAATCGGACTGCACATCACCGTCGTAGTTCTTGCAGGCCCACACGAAGCCGCCCTCGGATTTCATGGCATAGGCGACCATGTCGTCGATGAGACGGTGCTCATACCAGATGCCGGCGGCTTCGTACTGCTTCTTGTACTCTTTGTTGTAAATGTCCTCGAAGATGTCCTTGAAGCGACCGTCGTACTTCTTTAGGATGGTGTTCTTGGTGCTCATGTAAAGCGGCAGCTTGCGGTCCAGCGCAAACTTGAACGAGGCGTGGGCAAAGTCCACGATGGAATCGTCAGTGTTGAACATGCCGAGGGCGACGCCGGGACCCTTGAAGTCGTTGATAACCTCATCGATGACCTGGCCGTCGTTGCCTTTCCAGGTGAGGGTGAGCTTGCCGGGTCCGGGAACCACATAATCGACAGCCTTGTACTGATCGGCGTGGGCGTGGCGACCGATCACGATAGGCTTCTGCCAGCCAGAGACCAGGCGAGGCACATTCTTGCAGATGATGGCCTCGCGGAAGACGGTTCCTCCGAGAATGTTGCGGATGGTACCGTTGGGGGACTTCCACATCTTCTTCAGATTGAACTCCTCCACGCGCTTCTCGTCGGGCGTGATGGTGGCGCACTTGATGCCCACATTGTACTTCTTGATGGCCTCGGCACAGTCGATGGTGACCTTGTCCTCGGTCTGGTCGCGGTACTCAATGCCCAAATCAAATGTGTGCAGCTCGATGTCCAGGAAGGGCAGGATCAGCTTGTCCTTGATTGACTGCCAGATGATGCGGGTCATCTCATCGCCGAGCACATCCACCACGGGTCCAGCACGAATCTTTTGGGCCATCTGTGCGGAACGACAAACGAGAGAGGTCTTGAATTTTGGAACAATAAAAAGGACAGGAACTTATTAGCTATTTGAAATGAGTGTGTAAATATTTTGTACGCGTGTCTGGGGAAATCACCTCGCTAACGCTTGCACTGTTTTCTCGGATGACCTTTTCCATTAAAATCTTTTGGGGATTTGATACCTATACACAGGGGATATGGGTAGGGTAGTAAATGATTACAAATGAACGTTCGAGGCAAAGTGAACTTTGATCCGGATGGAATGGTCGGATCAGAGAGAGAGAGAGAGAGAACCTACCACGGCGCTGCTGGCGAAGTTTGCTTGGAAGACGGCGCGTATCAATGGCGGCCGGCGGGCCGTCATCAGTGTGGCAGTGCGGCGGATAGCAAACATTTTACGATTCGGAAAATAATAGACGAAGTTCGACTGGGAACGAGACAATATTTGTCACCAACACAACTAGCATCTGGCACTAAAAGCTACGAGGGGGGCACAAATCTGTCCAGGAAAAACTGGAAAAAAGTTTCTCCGAACAAAGGCGGTCGCTGCGACTGCGACGATGTAACCGTAACTGATAACTGTTTGGGCTTTCCGTTAGATTAGTCGCTTGTTCTATTGCTCCACTGCAGCCGGAGGGACTGGACGCTTCAACTGTTGCGCAATCGGCGTAATCAGACTATATTGGATTGCCCTGCAGATAAGACTCAATGTTCCCTACTCTGATTAGCTGCTCTCACTGTTTCAAGCTCGTGGACGTGCCGTAAACAGCCGTTTTAATTAACAAAATTCAACTTGTGAAACACACAAAACAAAATAGTAAACAACAACACGGCTGCGGCACGAAAGCTTTATCACACTTGCGCTTTTTTCGCCGAATTTTGGCCACTTTTGCTATGAACACACACAAGTGCTGTAAAATAGCTTAAATCACTAAATTTTGCGTTTGTTTTATTTTAATTTTGTGATTTAAATAATAATTTGTGATTAATTACAAACACCATTTGATAAAATATACCGTTCGACCCTCAAAAATGTACCAAAATACACCGTCTCATTTAAAAAATATACCGTAAATATACTGACGAATTCAAGTTCTACAATTCCGGTCGAATATAACTAGGAATACAAGGAATTGTAATCGTTATCGCCGGCTGCTTCTGTCAAATCTCTTTTGAATTGTGGGTGGTCTCTCTCTCCCGGTACTATCTGTTAGTTTTTATCAGCTTCGGAAACTTTTCCATAAGCCTGCGATTCCGATTTGTAGAAGGCATTGTTTTTAAGTTCATGGCCGAACTGATAATACGCGTTTTGTGAGGCGCGTGGCACGAAACACGCCCTTTAAATTTCAATCTTGGCTATCGATAACGATACTGACCTTTTGGTGAGAGTGCGTAGAGCTTTGAGAATTTTGAAATGAACGCGCCAAAGTCTGCTTATGTCGCGGCTGGAAGGCCTGTTCTTGCCTGATTATCTGTGTCTGTCTGCGGTCTGCGTTCCTTATCTATCTATCTTGAATGTCGCCAATTGTATAACTAATCATAATTGCGTGATTTTTTCGGCTTTATTGCCGACCTAAGTTTTCCATTTACGGCTGAATCGCTGCTCAAGCGATCGGATAGCATCTTGATGAAATAAATAAACATGCCAGGTGGTGCGATCTAGTATCACGCCACCCAGGCCACGCCCACAGATGGGTGAAATGCGGTGCCTGCCCAATATGTTTATGCTTTCACTAAATTTCTCTAGCGTTTTTCTGGCACATCTAGCACACCAACAGACTGTGCAGTTCGAAAATTGTACGCATATATCAGTAGCACGTTCCCGATAAGATTTGGCATTGGGTAAATATACAGTATTAAGGCAATGAGAAGGCAACTATTGCGATACGAGCCCTCCTTTAGATGTTCTCGAACAATCTATAGATATGTTTGTGTAAATGACAAGGTCTAAGGTATTGAAGTATGTAAATACGAGATTACACTTTGCACCTGGAGTAGAGATACAGGTGGGATGGATGGCTCTCAAATGGGTTACGTGTCTGTCTGGTTAGAAAAGCAAAGAATCCAGCCGGTCGGTATCTCTCTTTCTCTATCTGTCTGGCCCCAAACCGGCTGAGAGAGACGATAAATTGCATATAAAATGCTGCTGTGCTGCATATGTGTGTACATACGAGTGTATATGCATGTGTGTCGGATTCTTTATGCATATGTATGCGGTTGTCTGTTGGGGAAAGTTCAGACACACAACGAAAATAGGCAATTGGGGAGCCAGAGGACAGAGGACAGAGGCTATGCATAAACTTAAACAGTCGCAAAGTATTTCGCATAAGCAGCTCACAAATTAACATATCAATGTCGGAGTAAGAATTGACCGATTCAGGACGATATGATTTATTTTACAATTGGATAAATTGCAAGTCAGCATTATGACAATAATGGAGATAGATAAGCGGCAAATCAATGTCTCACAAAAAAAAATTGTATTTGGGTACCACATATTTTATATAATAATTGGAATGGATGAGCGGCTTACCTTTCGTAATATTGAAATTAGAACGGTTAGATGGAGAAGAATTAAGAACACGACTTGTATTAAATCTAGCCACGACGAAATGCAGAGACGCAAATTGGAGACAAGCTTTTTATAAGTCGATGACAGTTTAATCGCAGAGAGAAAAAGAGAGCGGCGCAAGGGGCATGAATGAAATTATACAAGGTGGTACAAGGTGTATTCGCTCTCTTTCGGGTCTTTTGCACGACGCTCAAGTCGCAGCTGTGTTCGAATTGCGTTGGTTTTAAAGGATATAAAACTTACAAAAATACAATGAGGCGCAAACCAAACTCTCACACAAACGAGCGAGAGAGGATCACTTTCTCTCTCTCTCTCTCTCTCTATTTCTTCGTTATCGCTCACTTTTGCGTTCCATGGTCTGCCTGGAACCCCTGTCGCCTATCGAAGATAGATACAAAAAAGTTTTGCCGCTGCCTGGCAAAAGCTCGTCGTGACGAGCTTTCAAGCTGAGTTGCGTAGCACTCAACCTTCCTGCGGCCTAAGGTGTAGTGCCGCCACTATTTGAAATACAAATTTAAATTTTCAAGCAAGCAATTAGCGCAACTCGGTTTTTACGATCTGACCAATGCCTGTTGCAGCACTTACCCCGGGCCGAAGTGTGGGCCCACATTTTATGACCATGCAACGTTAAAGAAAAATGAACACACTCTGCGCCAAAAGTGAAATGTTAGTCGAGCTCTTGTTTTTGCCGGATTTTAATATGCAAATAAAAAATTTGCGATTCGAGGTCGTGTTCACTTTTTATGTGCGAAAGTGTG